GCCTATAGGATCATCAAAGCAACGCGGCCCAACCTGTTCATGGCAGATCTGCACACGGGAGAGATCCGAACTCTGCGAGCTTTCGCGGAGGAGGACGAGCCCAAACACACACTCGTGGTTTTGGTGACGGACAACGGCGCCGACTCGCTTTCCGCCACAGCGACGGTCAGCATCACGGTCAGCGACGGGCTGCCTGTTTTCAACGAACTTTTTCAGTTCGCAGACGAGTCACAGGACGAAGACAACTTAACGTTCTACTTAATCATTGCGCTGTCCACCGTTTCTTTCCTCTTCATTCTTTTAATCAGCTGCGTGTTATTTTAAGCTCTGTCGGCGCAGTTATGTGTACCGTTCTACCACCAGCAGCCTGCCCGTTTTCCCCACAACTTATTGCTCGTCTACCCTCACTGACTTTAGCCGCTGCGGGACTTTGCTGGGTGATGACAGATACGACCCCTTTTTGACCACCGGTTCGTGGAGGGGTGATTTTCGGTTCGGGTCGAACACAGACACCGACACGTTAAAGAAAAGGAGCGCAGCTTATCAAAAGAACGCACTGAGGCGCCTGAGCGCAGAGAGAGGCAGTTTAAAGGTCAGGGCAGGACCACAACATCCCTGTTACGTCATCAAATAAGAGTTCATTTGACTTCTTATACTCATATTTGTGTTTCTTTGATGATAATAAAACAGTGTTGGATTTGTGAGTTTTTGACGCATGATTTAGTTGACAGTGTTTGATATTCATCCTCAGAGAACTTCACCTTAACCATAAAGCAACTTCGATTTTTTTAAAATATTTTTGGTGTCTGATCCACATTAATATACCTTTAGGAAGAAATAAACTAATTAGTTATACTTTATTTTCCTTGTTCTGCTGATATGAGACTATTTTTTTCAGTTGTGTATTTTATGTTTGTTTTTTTTTCCTTCTGTTTAATGCTTATATTACCAACTTTTTATGTTGTTTTTTAAGATGATATATAAAACATCATACACAAATATGATTTTTTTTCTTTTTCAAATAACATGATGTTGTATGAGCATGATGTAATTAACCAAATATAGCTTGACTAAGTTTTTTTAAATATGAAATATAATATTTACTTCTATATAAATTATTTTGGTGTAGCAGCTTGTACGTTTATCGTGTCAGGTTTTGATATGATGCACTATTTATTAATATTACATTAGTTGTGTTTTCACAAATGAAAACATAAATCACTGTGTGATGGACAAATAATGTTTGCACTATGCCATAAATCCATCTCATGAATTGAACTACATGTAAACAAGCTATGCACATGATGATTAAACGAAGAAAAAATGAGTCATCTGTTTCTGTTTGAGTTTCCTGTAATGCATAATTAAAACATATAATATTCAGAATCCCTCTTATTTTGTAATTTGTTGTCAAATCAATAAGTCTGATATCTATGTATCTATCTATCTAATTGAAAATTAATATGGTACTAAACAGTAAAAGCATGCCAACATAAAATTGTACAGTTATAAAAATGCATAATGGTTTATTAGCAATCAGTAACATATAGTTTATGATTAAAGCCAAAGAGCATAATGAGCTGCACTTAGGTTTTAATATATTATTAATTTAACTATTTCCAAATACAATTCAACTGACTGATTTTTGTAATTGATACTAGGCATTTTTAAGCAGAATTAAACTTTTTTATTTGTAATTATTTTTTGTGATTTATGATTTTCCAAACAAATCAAATGCCATTAAATTAAAAAAATAAATGAGGTTTATGAAGGCCTTATTTATCTGACTTCATGTTAGTCTATATGTGCTATTGCTGTAGGCACCACTCTGTTTCTAATTTCAGCAAGTGTGGGAGGAGAAGAAAAGGCTTAGATACTGTTGTTATCTAGGGCACAAAACTAAGGTTTAAAAACATGTTTTGCAGTACTGCAGAATGCAAAATATATTAGGCTTATTATCATAGCTTGTCTTGGATAATAATGTGTGGATTCTAGATTTATTTATTTGTTTGTTTGGTTTTAACATAATTAGACCGCAGATAGATACTTAGGTTTTACAAAAAAAAAGCCATTATTAGAAACAACTTTTAGTTTGCACCTCTTTTTTGTATTATACAACTCCAATTCCAATGAAGTCAGGGTGTTGTGTAAAATGTAAGTAAAAAAAAAAAAACACCATTACCTTAACCGGGATTAGGTTCACCCACCATGAACCATGAGTGATGATAATTTGCAAATCCTATTTGATCTACATTCAATTAAATACACTACTGAGACACAGTGTTTAATGTTCAAACAGATAAAGTTTAGTGGTTTGTTGCAAAAATTTACTCATTTTGATTTTGATTCCTACATGTTCCAAAAAAGCTGGGACAAGGGCATGTTTACCACTGTGTTACATCACCTTTTCTTTTAACAACAAATAATAAACAGTTCATGTACAACTTCGGTAGCTGAACAGTCTGGGGGCTCTGTTGATGTTTTTTGCATTTCATAATGAATCACACATATCCAAAGGGAGACAGGTCTGGACTACAGGCAGGCCAGTCTATACCTACACTCTTTTACTATAAAGCTATGCTGTTGTAACACATGCAAAATGTGTCTTGGCATTGTCTTGCTAAAATAAGCAGTGACATCCTTGAAAAAAAAACATTGCCTGGATGGCAGCATATTGGTCTGAAATGTACCTTACAGCTTTAATTGTGCCTTGACCGATGTATAAGTTACCTATGCCATGGTCACTAACACACCTACGTAACATGAGTTGATGCTGGGTTTTTAACTTTGGGCTGGAGGATACAATATCAAGGATTTCCAAAAATAATTTGAAATGTGGACTGACCWCAGGGCACTTTTCCACTTTATAACAGTCCATCTCAGAATAGCTCTGGCCCAGAAAATCCAGTGAAATTTATGGGTGCTGTTGATACATGACTTTTATTTTGCATGGTAGAGTTTTAACTTGAACCTGCAGATGTAGTAAAAAACTGAGTTTACTGAGATTGGTTTTCTGAAATGTTCCTGAGATCAAGGTAATGTTTAACCAACACGTTCTCACTCCCAACTCGTTATATTGTTCAGGCCATTTTGACATATCTTATTAATGCAGAGGGTACCTCACTTGCATCAAAATTCGACATGCAGGGTGCTCCCATTGATGCTATACAGCTCCATAAATGTTGGAAACCAAAGACATGAGAATATGGAGGAGGAGCCTATGTTTGAAAAGCAAATAAACAAAACAATACATGTGCACCTTATGCATTTGTAGCCTATAATTTGAACAATTTTGTTGATTTTACAGCTCTGATGAACATGGGATTTTTTATAATTTTTTCCTAAAGTGAGGGCRTATATTTCCAGATTTTTTTTGTGATTTTTGACTTCATGAAAAATTTCAACTTTCTGAGGGCAAGAGCCCCCAGCAGATTGTTCAGGAATTTGTGGGGCCCCTGCAGGCAAACCCAGGGCTCACCTCTGGTATGTTCTTCCTGACCCCCAGAATGACATTTAAAAACATCAGACTTCTAGACCAAGGATGAAAAAAGTTTCATCCGTCTAACTACCAGACTCATCCAAATGTCTCACTGAAACCCTACAGCATCATACAGGGATGCTGGGGTAAGGCTAAAACTTCATAACCAGTCCAGGGTCCATTTGACCTCAAATTCATGTTCTTTGTCACACCAAATGTGAGCACCTGAAATTGTGTGTGTGTGTGTGTGTGTGTGTGTGTGTGTGTGTGTGTGTGTGTGTGTGTG